AAGCAATAATCATTATATTGCAGAAGTAAGGATCACGGCTTTTTCTAAAACTTACACGTGCAAGAATATATATATATATATATATATATATATATATATATTAATCTTTTTATCAAAACTGGGGATTGGGTTAGAATTAGGGAAATTTTAGCAAATTACAGGATTCGGCCTTTTTTCCACAGCAGTCGTTCCTGTAATTATGAGTCAGGGTTTTAGGAAGAAGAAAAAAAATCACATCCAAGTGTCTGTTCTAAAGTAACAAACTATAAGACAAGCAGTCGTTTAGTAGTTCGCCGAAATCAACAACCAAAATCCTTTAACATAACTTCTCTGCTATATATACTATCAGATTAAATTAGCAAAGGAATTTTTCCTAACCCAGACAACCAGTCATCAGTGGTTTACAAGCCATCAATAAACATTTGGAAAGTGTGTACTGATTCTGGATAATTAACAATACTTCCTTATTTTTTCGAATTTTCAGAGAAATACCCTAGGAATTGCCGTGTAAATTGAATTCTCACTTATCAGTAAAAATTCAGTAACGAGTACATTTAGAGGACCGAAATACTTTGAACAATTCCAATTTTGCTCCCTCGTCTTTTTTTTTTTTTACTTGTACCATGCTGAGTTTTCGCTCAAATATAACAAAACTTAAATAAAACATGATGAGATTCAAGAGAAACGCTAAATGGAAATTTTAAAAGATTGAATATTTGAGCAGATAGGAGCATTTAAAGAGAATATTTTTTTTTCTTGCGAATTTAAATACTAGCTGCTCACCGATGTCCAAGTATCTAAGATTATTAAACAATTCGTTCCCCGAACGATTGAGCGAGCTAGCTGCAAAGTTTCATTCTTTTCCTATTGGTAACGTGAAAATTAATCAGTGTTCCTTAAAAAATCATTCGAGAAGACTTCATTCTTAAGAAAGGCTGTCTTTAGGTGATTATTATAATAAATAACTTCATTTAAATGCTAATTAAATAAGTTGTGCAAAACAGCGTTGAATTAATCAAATCTAAAAATAAAAACTCCAAATAATTTTAAACTTGACAGATAGTTGGAACACAGGCCTGTTTTTATTAATTTTAAACAAAATCATATATTAGCAAGGCATAATTTTTATGAAAAGGCTGTAGGAATTTCGTGGGAATATGATCTAGGTTCCTGTTCTGTGAATAGCATTCTGTGGAACAATTCTGAGTTCCCCCGGGGGGGATATGTTTTAGATTATCTCGAAATGCTCAGAGGTTTCCTGCGCCTGTGCTCGATATTTTCATACTTAGTATTATCTAGCAGTTAACTCATAAAACTGTATTAAAAGTTTTGTTTAGAGAATGCATTACCAAATTTCATCAGCTTTTTTTATAATACATTAGATGTGTTATATTTGTTTCGTGCTTTATATGAAATAAAGAAAAGTAACACCAATTTTTCTCTATCATTTATTGCTGTAATGAAATTTTCGATAGTTTTATTAAAGCAAAATTCTAATGTTTCCTTCAATCAAAAGATAATGTAAAATCTCGTTGATAACGTTAACGTTTGTATGTTTCACAAATAAGTATCAGTGATAAAAAAAAATTAAATAAAACCAATTATATAGGTGCTCTGCATTGGTTTTTGATCCCTTCAATCCACGGAAATATTTGGCCTAACTTAAATTGCCAGCTTGGCATCGTCTTATTACTTGAGTAAAGGACGAAACACCTTCGTATTTATTTCTTAATTATTGTTCATTGAACGGGAGTTAGTTTGTTCCCCTTGAAAAGTCAACTAATTTCCGATCAATGGCAATGATTACTTGCTTTTAATTTAATTACTTGCTTTTAATTTAATTTCTTTTTACAATTTAAATTTTGTTATTCATGATTTAATTCAAGTCCCCGTTAAACATTTTTAACAATTTACATTCAAGTTACTTTAAAATAATTTTCGGAATTAAACTTACTAACTATAGATTCACTCTTTTTAGAATTAATCTTAGGAGCTAATATAATCAATATTTCTTTAGTAAATAAATTATACACACACACATATATATATATATTCCTGATTAAATGTTGAAAATGAGCAGTTCTGCGGAGTTTAAAACGCAAATCAAAAGCAAAAAAAAAAGCGATTTGGAAAACCATTTAGATGGTAGTCTAATTGGAAGCAAAATAGTCTTACTTTTGTTTCATAAGCAATAATTTGCCTTTTATAATTCTTAAATATTGACTGGAAAAAAAAACTTATGCATTTCAGTGAAGGGCAAAGTAATTTCGATAGCTATTGTTTTCTTGAGCTGTGCTGTTTCTCTGTCTGTCATAGAGGAAAATGTTTAGAGACGAGAACGTGTTTCAGTAATATTGGGTCACGTGATTGTAACTGATTTTTGTAAGCATCTCCAAATTCAGTTTCATTATATCCACGATACCCGTACTGCAGATCATAATTGAGCATTTTTAATAAATGGTTTTTACAAGTAGGAAGCATTGAATCCCGTATTTTTCCCTAATATGTAGAAGAATATAAGTAAACTTTTTTTTTCTCTTATGTGTAATATATGTATGCAGTATTTGTTAACTTTTAAAATAAAATTAATTAATTTTCAAAAGTTTAATAGGTTTTTTGAATTCCACATCTTGTCGCTGTGATTATGCACTATTAAAGAAGGAAATGCAAACCAGTCAATCTTATGCCCGCTAGAGGCCAATCAGTAAAGTCGCTGAACACTGGTAGTTCGACCCAAGTTAAACTCCTGACGAACAGGCTTGCATCGTTTTCTCCATGTGTAATTTGAAGATAAGCCAGTTTATTTTAAAACATCTTCCACGAATGCATAGCTTTCCTTAGTAAGATACCCGACGAGTCCTTTGCCGTAATTCAAATAATCCAGTCCACTTCTATTAACCTTGAAAACTGCTTGAAAAGCTTCATTAAGCCGATCTGGTTTCTGTCAGTGAACCAAATATTAATATGAAATTTTGCTTTATTGTGTAAGTTCGCCGTCTGTGGTTTGATTCGTTGGATTTATTATCTTTCGTATTCATGTATTTCGGCTTATAATATCGATGTATTTATTTAGAGTAAAAGGTTACAAGCTATTATTTCATCATAAATGTGAGTTGTAAATTGTTTCAAGGATAGGCCATTCAGAACGTCTTATTTTGTGACCATATTTGTTTCAGAGATAATTTTCAGCGAATATAACTCTTTGTTAGCATTTTGTGGTAGCTGATATTGGTTGCAAAGTGTATCGTATTCATCTTACGCACTTTTAAATTTAAGTAGAGTAATAAAAAATGAAATGTGCTGTAACATAAATTTTGTAATCATATCATTCGTTTCTATAATTTAAACTTTTACTTGCTGTTAGTACTGCCCTGATCGGTTATAGTGGCTGGCAAATTTGGCTGCTGTATCGTTAGGCCTGGCTTCGAATCCTGGAGAAGGAATGGATGTTTGTTAGTATCTGAATGGCATGGGGGGACTTAAAATGCTAGCGAGCTGAAAACCCTTTTGCGTGGTTTGGTGGCAGAAAAAGGGGATGAAGGATGGGATGGTCTCCATTAAAACTGGCACTACACCTGCACGACTCTCCATTAAAACACCTGCACGACTCTCCATTAAAACTGGCACTACACCTGCTCTCTGGGATGCTCTCCATTAAAACTGGCACTACACCTGCACGACGAATCGTGAGATTATGATTTCCTGCCCACTTCTTCCTGTAGCTGTATGCTTATTATTACTCATTAAACGGCATGAAATTTTATAAATGTATTAAACTTCAAAGTTTACTTAGAAATTGAAATCGTCTCCCTTTTAATTCATTTATATTAAAACCGTTTAAAAAGTTACGGTGGCACTAACCTTTGACATTTAAACATTTTTATAGTAAGAAAATGTTTTAACCATAAAAGTTTTGTTCAATTGAAGGGGCAGAAACTAATTAATATGCATTGATAAAATAGGCAGAATTAAGAAAATTGCTACTTTGTGTTCAGCAACTGTTTGCTACAGTATGAAAGATACAGGATTCTCCAACGGCGTAATGGTAGCGTTTTAAGTTCTCAAAATTCTAAAATATAGTAAAGGAAAATAGTTTAGATTAGGTTACTTTACTATAGCATTGATCTCGAGAGCTGTGTTATAGGCGAACGTTTTGAATCTTGTCTTTAAGATACTTGGAGAGAAAAATAACAAACATTTAATACAGTTGCATTCAGTCACGGAAAGCCAAGTTCGCGATGGGCTACTATATTTTTTGGCTTTTCTTTATACTTGGCCATTGATTGGTAAGAAGGTAATAATATAGTGGGGAGTAGGAATATATGTTACGTACTTCGATCACGAAGAATGGGAGAAAAAGTAAAAATGGAAAAATGTAGAGCACATGGATGAATCCCTCTAATTTAGCAGTAAGCAATAAATTTGACAATGCACTTGTAACAACACCCAGTATACGTAGAGGGCGAGGTTAAAGAAGCTTTAAGAAAACTCCTTCAGCAGTCTTGTTTGTGTAGTATTTTACTGTTCCATGTAATCGAAGGGCCTGCTCATTTGGTTGTCTATGTCAACTGGTTGAACATAATTAAACTTTTAATTCCTCGCTATGAAAGTAACCGCTTCGTAGCAACCAGTTGCATATTTAATTTTAGCATTTTGTTATCATCAAATAATTTAATATTTCCCACAAAAAAGGGTGACAGATAAAAAAAAAAAAAAAAAAAAATGATACAGGTGCCGAATTTTGTGATATATTTTTATCATATTACGAATTCTGTCACCAACCTTCGTACTTCCATTACCTTCTCCTACACGAATAATTCATATCCGGCGGTATTTGCTGTTTCTATGAATCATCCCAGATTATGGGGTGAAACAGTGCCTCTTATCTTATTATTGTGATGCAAGAGATGTTCGTTGCATTTTTTTTTTCACCCATCCCATTATTCCTATGAGTTACTGATTTCTGTCCGTTAGCACCAAGCTGATGTGGATAAAGTTTGTTTTATTCCTCCACGCATCAATCGAAAGATCGGCAGTGGCGTGATATTTCTGTCTGATGCTGAAGCAAAGATCGGATGTCGATCATTTTTTCTTAGTATTTTGAGCTGATATGAATAAAATTGGTTCTAGTCTTTAGCACATCTTTCTTTAGCAGCGCTCTTAAATTCATAAATAGATAGGTTTGGGATGTTCCCCCCCTACAAAAAGCATATTAATTAATAAATTATTGTTTCTTGTGCTTTTATATAAATATTGATAGGGCTGTAATATAGATTTTTTTTTAACAAGTGAAATATATTGAACTGCATTGGAATGTTTTACTTTGGGTAACCGTTTCCCATATTAAGCCATTGGTAACACCATGATTTGAAATTCTTTTATCTCGCAGTTTATTCAGCTGGTACTCAGAAAGGTATTTCATTTTCGATTAAAATTTATTTTGTAATCGAGCAATTAATATAGTAGCTGACGCAATTAGCGCTCTGTTTTGCTACGAGAATTAGGGATTTAAAAACGGCATTTTGAAAGACACATCAAGTTTTTCGGCAACCATGCGTTTCCCCCGGCCGTTACGCTGCAGCGGGCCTTTGAGTTTCCTCGATCTCCGCACTGCGACCGCAGTCGGGGCCTACGCGTCGTTTGCTAAGGACGTGTTGCGGACGCTACTCTCATCACCAAAACTGTCAATGCGGCGGAACGTCGTTAGAACCCGACGCGTACTTATGTCCCATTTGTCGAACTTTTTGTCCCGTCCTCCAGTAGGTGACTTATTTACTATTGTTCATCGTCATGCCGATGGTGATTGTAACACAATATCTCCTACCGATGTGTTATGGATGTTGGTGTTTAGGAAGAAGGAGATGCTGGACTACGCCTGGAAGCTGGCGAAGGACGAGGTGACCCTGCATAAATTGGAAAATTTAGTTCGGAATAAAATATTATTTTATGTTGCTCATCAAGTTCATCAAGTGCTGACAGAATTTTGCCTCATGTGCAAACGTGATAGGTAAGTTATTCTCATTATTCGAATGAATCTTCTTACCGTAATTACTCGAAACCTAATTAGGCTACTGCCTCTTTTTTTATTTATTTATTTTTTCCTGTCATATTTTTTTACCCATGTTTGTAGTAAATTATTAGTTAGACGAATAATTTTTTAATGTATAAGAGATTTATAAAGTGGAATTTGATGTTCACTGATTTCTTGATTGTACGAAAGCGTATATCCATTGATTAAAATTTTTATTTCTGCTCATTCGATGCATTTATAGCAGGGATAATTCATTATGAATGGCTACCAATAAGCAAAAGGAACGTATGTATATTTTTGCTTTAGGATTGTAATATTGATTTTCTTTTGTATGACAACGTTCTGTAAAAAAATATTGATATTTAATCCCTTTAGATTTTATCACATATTTATGGTTTTAAGTTAAGTGTAATTTTTCTACTTTTTCTTTCCGTTTCAGTTTGATTTGAAGGACGCCGTGATGCCTTTAATTTTCATCATAGTTATGATTTGGCATCAAACAAAAGTTATCCTTTTTTTATTGTATATGTGTTTGTGAATGTTTAAGAAATACCTCCCCAGTGTTGCAAAAAGCATAGCATTTATAAATGTATGCTAAACCATTTCATTTATGCAAGAAAAGGCCTCCTCCCCCCCCCATAATTTTGAAATCTTTGTTGTTACTTTTCACGATTACGCAATACTGCATAATTTCTTTATGAATCAGTATCGACAGCTTGCAAGGGATATACTACAGGGTGTTTTTTTACATGGTACTTATAACAGCTTTGGATTTTGACAAGTGCGTATAAAAACAGTTTTAAAAAGCTTGAATTTAAAGGTACCATATTAAATCCTGTCATGTTGTATATATAAGTTACCGTCAGATTTTCTGGATATTTAGGAGAAATTTATTCTGATATAAAATATAAAAAAAAATTATGATATAAAAAATATTCTGATGTAAAAAATTCTGATATAAAAAGTCTTCTTCTTAAAATAAGAATTAAACCAACTGTGTATAATTCTGTACAAAATTATTTGCTTACTGTGCAACTAGTTCATTCACTGAAATCGAACGCGAAGTGACCGCCATTACCAATGTTTGGCGGCCTTATCCACGTGACGTTAATAAGCAGATGGTTGTCTTATTTTTAATTTGAATTGCAATTTTTTTTTCTTAATTATTACAAAAAAAATTATACGAACAAAAATTTCTTGCAACAATTTTTTTTTAATATTAGTAAATGTAAAGGCATCACTAATTTTTTAAAGGTATTATGATAAAATCAGTGTAAGCGAATTTTCAGTATAATTGTCTATTGGTAGTGATCAAGAATGAAACAGAAGTAGGAGCAGGGTAGCTGAAAAAAGAATTGAAGGATGTGTCGGTTAGGATGTAATGATTCATGTTGATGAGGCAACAAAAGTAAAATCTTGTCAACCATGCTTTTGACGTGTAAGCACAAATATCCGCAAAACAAGGAACTGAATAGTAGTATTAGAGTAGTTAAACTGTAACGGATTTAAAGCACATGAAAATTTTACTTCTACTAAAAATACAGTTATGTGGCGAATGCATTCAGCATACAAAGGGTCTGTATTTTCTTGCATGATATGCCAGTTATCGTTGTGAAAAAGAGATTCAGATTTAAGAGATGTTTATTCTTCATAAATTAACAAATTTCACAGTAGTGTTTAAATACTGATGCTTAAATAGATATAGGCTATAACTGTAAGCGTTCATATAATATATTGTAAGTAATAAACATAGTTACAAGTAAATTATGACAATTAATGCTACGAGATATAAATTACAGAATGTTACAGTTGTTACGATTTTTTTTAAACCATGTTAAGTATTCCAGTATAATAATTCAGATGGAGTTAGAAATAATATTTGTTCATAAAGACCTGAACAACTATACAGTGATTTTCAAGTTTCAGACCAAAGTTTATATGAAAGAAAGTTCAACATTTAGAACTATGTCATATGCCCAAAAATAATTGGAGAGTTTCTTTATCGTAACATGTATGTTTCTGTATACGTAGGTACAAATACGAGAGTATGTTTTTCGCACATTTTGCATCATGTTACAAATTGTGTTTTTTTTTTTTTTTTTTTTTCTTGTTTTGCACTGGAAAATTTTGATCGATAATTTTCGTTTAATTAATAGTTAATCACTGTCTCAACAAATTGCAAAGTCTTTTTCCTTTTAAAATTCATTTTCCCCCCTCTTTCTTTATACATGCAGCAGGTTCTTTTGTTATAATCAGCCGCACAGATTATGAATTCCGACAGTACTTGTCTGACTGGTTTTTGTAAGGTCACCCAACTATACACCCAACTATTACACCCAACTATAGCTAAATTGGCAATAATGCAGATACAAATATATCTAAGAATCATTCGTGATTGTGAGAAACCTTGAAAAAATTTCTCAGGCGCTGGGCATCTTTAATTTGTTAACTTTGTTTTACTTATTAATGAATAAAATACAATTTTTACGTTTAATATCATCAATTATTGAGGAATTGAATAATTTGAAATATTTGTTTTTATAGTTTACTACTAGTTTTAGAAAATTGAAATTATTTATTATAATTTTCAACTGAATTATATGTACGTACGTATAGAATGAGTTAATTGATTTAATCATATAAAAATAATTAACAATATTAAATGCTTGCATCATTTTTAGCTCAAAAGGGTGTTAGCCCAGAAGGGCAGTTACTCTCGAAACTGCATTTTGCGTTGAATCACTTGAATGCATCACTTTTCAAATTGTTGCCACCAAATATTATCGCCCTGTATTTAAAGAAACTAATGAAGAATCTGCATCAATGTATGTATGTTTCTCGCATTGTGATAACGGTACCTAGAGTCATCAAATTTTGAATAACGTAATCCTCCACCCGAACATGAGCACCTGGAAGCCCGAATTTGGAATTTGATTTATTGCCTATTTCATATTTTATAAAACTTTGACGAATTTTTTATTAAAAAACTAAACGATTTCAAAGCAAGCAGTGGCAACACTATAGAGAAGAAAACATTTATCTCCAGCGCGCAAGACTGTCTATCGGAAATTCTAAAGATATGCTATTTTTAAATATTTTTAGCACAAAGATGGCGCTAGCCCAAATGCTCTCGAAACGTGTATGTGTCTGTAAATGGGGGGGGGGACTGTTTGTGCGTAATATAAAATCTGACAGCTTTTCAGATTTTGTTTTAATTAATTTTTTCCCTTTACTTATAAATTCGAGAGGAGATGAAATTTACTTAAAATTAATAATGAATGTAATCAATTTAATTATTTAAGTGAAAAAGAATTAAAATAATTTTTGTTCTCGGTCCAATACAACATTCACTTGTTGCAAATGGACAATAAATGTACGATTAATTAGTTCACTGAGAGCTAGACCCGCAGGTGTAGATTTTTTATGATACAAGATGCTTGCGAATTAGATGAATGCTATACAGAATGCATGTGGGGGTACTCTACTAGCAGCTTTAGCTTTTGACCTTCGTGAACATATATGGTAAAATCGTCTACTAAGGTATGAAATAAGTTAACTGAAGCGTCTTTCTTTTAAAAACTGACAGTTGGGAATCTTGCACGCAGAAATATTAATATAGTTTCTGGTATAGGGTACAAGCTATACCAGCACTTCTGTAGTACGATAGGTAAATGAAGTATTGCTGTACCTAGCTAAATTATTAAGCTTCCGGTCCCAGTATTTAACTTCAGTAGTGGAAGATTGCTCCTCCCCCCCTCTTCTCGTATATCACCAATCTCTTAAGGGGATTTCGGCTCTCCGTGTATTTTGAGTGCTCCCTTGCCACACAGACACCATATGCCTACAAACACTCATGCTTCTCTGGTATTCGAACCCAGTCTGTTTGGTACGGTAGTCAATGTCATTAACCACTATCCCGTCCGTCTGGGTGTCTATAGTTTTTGGTAGAGAATAGTTATAAAATGAAACACTTGGAGGGGGTGGTCAAAGTTTAGATCACACGATACGCGTATCCAAAATTAACCTTGTGCGGCCTTTCTCATTTGTTGATCTCGCTGAATTAAAAGATTTGTTGAATCGTATCCATGCTGAACCCTGTATGTTCTGCAAAAGTTGAATGTCCATTATAAACTGTTTCCTAGCAACTTAGCAATAAGTACGGTAAAAAAGATAGACATGTATTACCAAAACTTACTAATCTGATAAAAGACAAGGTTTTCGGAGTGCACTATTCTTTCAGCTGATAGCAGGCATATAAATTTTGACAGTCATAAGCAATCAGCTCAACGGCTGAGGATAAGCGAAGTTTCAGAAAGTGCTGTAATGCTCATCTGTGCTCCAAAGATGCTCATTAAATGTTATCACCAACCATTAATTTATCCTTAGGGGCAAAATTACGATAACAGATCAATATTGTGCATGGTCAATGTTCTACGGCAAGCAGTCGAAAACTGCACATTGAGCCGCCGCTGAAAATCACGAAACAGATAACCATCTGGAATGCAAGACAGCAACTGGACGTTTTCAGTCTTGGAACGTCAACCTTCCTACCCCTCCATCACTTGGGTGTTTTTTATTATAATTTCTCATTTAATATATTAATGAGGCTGAAGACTTCATCATGCTCTCCAGATGTATGCTGAATAATTCGAAGATAAACAGTTAACAATTAATTCAACTGTTGGTAGCCGGTATATTGATGCTGTTGATGATTGGGGCTTTGGTTAAATACTTTTCATCAATCTTTCTTTTCCATCCATTAACAATTTTATTAATCCTAAAAGTAAGTTTCAGATAATTTTTTTTATAAAATTTAAGACAGATTAATTTCTGTTTAAAATTTTAAGTTATCCCCCCAAAATACAGTACTAACTCTGGTACGAATGCATACAAATATAACCATATGTTTCAATTTTACGTAAATTTTATACTGGCCTAGTAGATAAGATGATCGAACCCCTGCAATTCGCTACACT